TTATTAAAGATTACCTTTAAAATCAAAGTTTTTCCTGTTTTAATATTCATGCTGGAAACAAAAGACCCTTTCGGTGTTGTATTGAGACGTCTCCGCGCTGCGTGAACACTAAACAATAATTGTTGCCACTTGGCTGGGTCGTTCAAAGTGCTGTTGCTCACCAGATGCTCGTGGTGTCAATGACTTGCTGACTTGCTCGTCTCAACTGTCACCACTGCGAAGTGTCACTAATGAAGTGTGTCGTTGCAAGTAATTAATCTCCACCTGACGCTAATTGCTTTATCGTGCCGTTTGCTCTTATCGCGTCTCTTAATGTCATTAATGCTCTAAAGTCCTTGAAAAAATGTTTAATTCCTTTCCACACTCCATCAGGATGTAACTTTCTGCTCTTTATCAGGTATTTACAATGTGAAATTGTGCCTTGGGTGTCATTTATGAGCGTAAGGAGACAGTGACAGATTCTTCCGGACCAGTCATTTCTTCTTTAATGTATTTTTTCTTCTTCTAAAACACTTCATGCTGAAGTCACCACGATGACACGTAACAGCCATAACCAGTGAGTCATCTCATGGCATAAAGTGTCTCATATTCTGACTCAAGTCCTGCAACAAGCCATTTATCAGTATTAACGAGGAACGCTGCCCCAAAAAGGGCTAAAGAATAGAGCCGTTTTCTTTTATTGTGGAGTCTGAAGACTGAAGCGAAGTGAGAAATCATTCTAAATGCTGTAGTGATGAAGAAGAGACCACTTCAAAGGGAAACTTTTCAAATATGTACGTAGGTGCTGAGTCTCATGGCTACTCGAAAACAAAGACAGGAGTCATTGTTTGTTCCAGACACTTTTTTACGCGACAGACAACTTTCTTTTTCTCTGAATCTGGCTTTGGGTTCACAGCAGTGCACTCAGTCTTTGTCTGTAAGGCTCTGCATCAAATGCCACTGAATAATGAGAGAGAATGCAGCTGGTCTACTTTCAACTTAGCAACAAACCCGCGATACAACAGCACTCTGGGGAGTAAGCCTATATTGATATAAGGCAGCTTTGAAATCAGAAGTTCTGGAGGAAAGATCCGAAGAGGGGGCAAAACTTTAACACTGCAAGCTAACTTTTAAACTTTTCTCTTTCAGAAAAGAAGAATTTGAAATGAGAATTACAATATGGGTGACCTCTCTACGGCTGTACGGGCGTTTAATGTGACAAAAAATTCAAAGATAAGATGTCGGTTGGTCTTTTTTTTTCTTCTTAAGGGTGCTTTTCTCTTCTACAGATGTGGCCTAGCTTGATTATTCTCATCACGCTTTCTGCGCCGTCCCTGTCGTTTCAGATCAAGGATGTGCAGCCCTCCAACGCCTGTAAGATAATTGGTGTTAAAGGTGGGCACCTCTCCCAGCAGAGAGTCCCTAATAAGTGAAGCCGGACCTGGCAGATGTCCGCCCTCCTTCTCACCACCACCAGCCAAAGTCACTGCTGGCACCATATCCATTTTTACAATCCCACCGCAAAACTCATTTTTGGCTCCGTCCAGCCATGTGTCGCTGGTCGGGCACGCGAGCCATTTTTCACTTCATGCAGCTTGTAAAGCAGCCATATGGAAGGAAGGACCTGGCTGCTCCCACGCTGGCTCACCGCTGTGGTCCTAATATTTCACTGCCTCAAGGTCATGTGATATTTATATTTCCTTTGACCCGTTTCAAGAAAGTTTGATGAAACTTTGTCTGTGTCAATATATTCCACTTTTTTTTCTGCGATCTCATAAAATTAGGATTAATCACAGCATGTCATTAGCATCAATTCAGCTTGTGTTGAACAACAACGTAATTTATCAGGCCTATTACATACAAAACCATTATTTAGTTGCACATTTTCAGCACAGCAACTGAAGAACAGCTCCCTCAGTGAAGTATCACTTTAGTGAACATCAGCAGGCATCAACTCTGCAAGCCTAAAACCCATTTCCCCTTCCTCTCTCCTGCACACTAACTGTCTGGTTGACTTGTTTTTATTTCCCTTTTGGTAAAGTCAAAGAATCCAAGGAACAAACTGAACAGCACCCTCCCTGCTAGATTCAATTTGCAAAATAAAAAAGTCCTACTGCTATCTTCACACAGCAGGAGGAAAGTATAGTATCCCCCCCCTCCCAAAACTTAATGATTTGTTTGTGTAAAAACCTCCCAGTCTCCCATTCATATTTCTTCAAATCATTTTCATACTGTGCTGCTAAGTGAGGAGAAATTGAAGGGAGCTATTACATTCTCCACCATGCCATTATTTTCCAGCCCTGCAGGGGAACATACCCTCCCAAAAAACGAGCCACCACCTAACACACAAAGACTGCTGTGCGACAAAAAGATCACCACGAGCGATACTAATCGCATCACACATTCCCACGGAGAGCAGGGACTTCCTGAGCTTTAGCTCGTCTAATTCACATGCTGCAGTCAAAAAGAACTTACATCTCCCTGCTTTTACTGTGACAAAATCATACTGGATTGTTTTCATTTTTTTATTTTTTCATGAAAACCATGATGGTGTACATAGTGGGAACAGGAGCTGAATGTGGGCACTGGTTCAGCTGTAAATGTAAGTCCAGCAGATATAGAGGTGCCATATGGTGGAAATCCATTTTCAATTACCTTTGTTGTTGTTGTAAATGCAGAGTTATAAAGTAACAGCTGTTAAAATATGAAGACGTTTGCATCTGTTTTAAAGCGAGTTATATTTCCTTGAGCTGCTACGGATCTTGGAGTTAACGAACCAAAAGTCTTCTCGATCAAAATTTGTCCAGCGGAGCCATTCAGAAAGAGAAGTTGCCGAACAGCGCATCAGGTTTATTTACTTTCTAGAGCTGTTTCTGCTAACTCTGAAATGTCTCAGCCGCCCGCAAAACACAACAAAATATTCTGGGCTTGATCACAAGAGTGAACACAACCGTCTTCATGCACTCCCAGCATCTGAGGAAATAAACATCCATCCATCCATTATCTATACACCACTTAATCCTCACGAGGGTCACGAGGGGGCTGGAGTCTATCCCAGCCGACTTAGGGCGAAGGCAGGGGACACCCTGGACAGGTTTCCAGTCCATTGCAGGGCCTAAGGGAATCAGCCGTGAGCCAGGTTCGAACTCACGACCTCCACATCGGGACCGATACGGGGAGTGCCAGCTCAACCCAGTGAGCTATTACGGTACCTAAAGATCCAGTGGATTACCTTCATTTATGATAGCAATGTCATCATAACAATAGAAAAAAATCTGTTAGTGTTGTGGCTAATTAGGCTAATGCTACTGTTAGCTTTCATTTTATGCCCATTGCCCTCAGAGCTCTGAGGAAACTGTAACACTGAAACTTAAAACCCATTTGAAACCAGTAAACAAAGATTTTGATGAGGATTTCAGTTTGGATTACTGGGTTTTCATGTTGCCTGTTCTGCTTCAGCTTCAGCCACTTTTTACATCTGTTTGCTCTTCTCCTGCTCTCTGTTCTCATATTGTATTGTATTTTCACTCGAATTCCTGATAAAGCCTGATAAAGACATTTTTTTGTTTCTGTTAGTGTTTTCAGACAACTAAATGAGTATGTAATAGAGACTCAAATGCAGTCCATTAAGAATGCTTGTTATCAGCAGTCACCTCCAAGCTTCTGCTCTGCACTACTAAAGGGTTTATAAGTGCAACATTGTCTAATAAACCCATTGCACGCATGAGTTAAAAACAACTGTGAATTCTGTTTTTAGTTCCATATAAAATCACAGGGAAGTTTGTAGTGATAGAAGTGTTAGGTCAAGAGGTCAACTGTTTTGCTCCACGCTGTAAATCACAGATGCAGAGAGAGTCTTCTTCCTGAAGGGGCATATGTCCATCCATCCATCCATTATCTATACACCAATTAATCCTCACTAGGGTCGTGGGGGGCTGGAGTCTATCCCAGCTGACTCAGGGTGAAGGCAGGGGACACTTAGAGACAGACAACCAATCATACTCACATTCACACCTACGGACAATTTAGAATCACCAATTAACCTCAACATGTTTTTGGACTTGTGGGAGGAAGTCAGAGAACCCGGAGAGAACCCACGCTGCACGGGGAGAACATGCAAACTCCACGCAGAAAGATCCCGGGTGTCCTAACCGGCGACCTTCTTGCTCGAGGCAACGATGCTTTTTAAGCCAAAGAGACTGAAACAGCAAATTTAAAACAGGACTAAATCCAGACGTTATACAGTCATGGTGAAATTAATGAAACTTTGATTAATTTAAGTTGACTTAAATTCAACCAAAACATAGATTTTGAGGTGAATGAATGTAAGTTTACCATTTTTTATTTGCTCCAGAGCTCATGTTTCTTTCAAAAAATAATAAATGTAAAAGGTTAAGTGGATTTTTGCCAGTACACTCATGATTGTAGTGAACAGGAAGCCAGTCAGATAAGGTCATATTTATAAAATCTGAATCTGGGCTGAAACCAAATCCAAACAGTTGATCAATAACAAGAAGAATCCATTGATGTGGATGTTTATTTGCATGCTGTCCAGTTCAGCTCCATGAAAATGCTTTCAGAAGCAAGTCAAACTCATAAGGGGGGTTTTGTTTTTTACCGACTAGAAAAAAAGAAAAAAAAAGTCATGTTGGACTGTATGAGATATAAAACCTGAATTTTCCCGTTAAACGAGCGAAACAGCTTCGCTATTGGCGGTGCGTGTTGACGTCACTGCTCCACTACGGCTCCGCCTCCGCACTCCGCCGATGCTGATCCCCCCCCTCCTTGCATCAGCACCATTTCTGTGTGAGGAAGAGAGAGAGAGAGAAGAGAGAGAGAGAGAGAGAGAGAGAGAGAGAGAGAGAGACTACCCAACCTCACCGGAGCGTAGAGGCGTCAGACCGCCGCCACAGCATCCCGGTTACGCACCGCTCAGAGGCCCCGTCGTCGGATCGCAGCTCCAGAAACAGCTGAAGAAGAAGTCAACATAGCCGCGCACACGGCCACAGCTGCAGTCAGTGATGGAGAGCCTGCTGGATAATCCAATGAAAGCCGTTCTTTACCTGAAGGAGCTCACCACTATCGTGCAGAACCAGCAGAGCCTGATCCAGACGCAGCGCCAACGCATCGACGAACTCGAGCGAAAGGTGGAGGACCTGATCGGAGAGAACCGACAGTTGCGGGACCCCCACCACTACGTCCAGCAGCCCCCTCAGCCTCAGCAGCACCACCATCACCACCACCACCACCCGACTCACCGCAGCGCCAGTCCCCAGGCGCCGGCCCACCTCCATCAGCACCCGGGGAGCAACAAAGCTGCGGCTCACCTCGGCCAGCAGGCGCAGCAGCAGCAGCAGCAGCAGCAGCCTCCGCCGCCGCAGCAGCAGCAGCAGCAGCATCAGCATCAGCATCAGCATCAGCATCAGCAGCAGCATCAGCATCAGCAGCAGATTACCGGTCTCTCGGCCCAGCCTCAGCAGCACCAGAATCCTCCTGCACCGTCTTCCCACCACCCGCAGCAGCTGCAGCTCGTCCCCACCTCGCCGCAGTCGCCCAAAGCGAGCCAAGCCAGCCCTGACTCCGCCGAGGAGGACAAGAGGAGCCCCTGCTGCAAGTCCCTTGTTCCGCAGACTCCCACCGCGCTCTGCCGCTCAGTTGGACTGGCCAGGAAAGCGGAGTAAGTAGCTTTCGTGCTGTGTGCACCGCAGAAACACACTCAGCCGGAGCCAGAAATCACCAGGAGCTTTCAGATCTTAATAATAGTTGGAATAATAGCTGCTTAATGCAAATCAGCAATCTGATGCAAGTCTTGAATTTGTCAGTCAAGTGGCATTAATCCTCCATACAGCCCGGCTGCGTTGCCACTCACATGAATTACAAGATTTAATATCATATTCAGTGACCCCAATTGCACATTTTTTTCTCTAATCTAAATATAGCAAATGTTTATGGCCTGTCACATCCTCCAGGGGCCATCACACAGACATGTAATGTCACAGCCTGTCATGGACCAGCTGAGAATGTGGAAACATGTTGCACCATATACAGACATGATTGTGCAGCTCCATTCACAGGCGCCATATGAAGCCCAGGTCCTCGGATTGCACATGATTTGACTTTGATTAACTTCACATCCCTCCCTTCCTCCTCCTGACAAGCTGAGGCTTAATTTTCTGACAGGTGATTTGAGCTCCTCCTGCATTTTCCACAATATTCACTCGCCCTGCTAAATCAATTGAATGCTTAATGGATATTGATTTTTTTTGAAGGCTCAGACTGGCACTTTTTAACGGTAGTGGTTTGTTAATTCTTCACCAAAAACTGTGCGGTTGGGCTAAACCTGGTGATGAAGTGTTTTTTGGGGACTAGATCTGAAGGTTTCGAGATATTCCGGTGAGGTTAAAGTGCTTCCCCCCCCTCTTGTGTTTCTCTGAATGCTGAATGAGCAGACTATTATTCTAAAATGCATGTTTCACAGGTGCCAGGAGAGCGCGGTGACATTATAAACACACGTCTTGGAAACAAGCAAACTCCAAAAGGCAAAGCACTTGACTTTGAGACAAGTGTCAGCGCTTTTTTGTTTGAATCACACCCACATGGAAGTGTGATTGTACAGGCTGGCGAGGCGAAGCGACTGCAGCAGCTTATTGCTCATTAAGACACAAGCTGAAGGATGTTACACCAGAGGAACATATCTGGGAGCGATAAGAGCGGAGACAGGAAGACATTAGGTTGCTTGTAAATCACCTTACGGCCACTTCAGAGCCACTGACATGCCTTGAATCTAACTTTTTTCCGTAGGTGTGTTTTGATTGCTCCCAGTATGGTGCTTTCGAAATTAAATTTAGAGCTAAATAACCTGACAAATCAATATGTAAATTAAATTTAAAAAATCATCAGCGCATATTACGATAATTGATTAATCAGTCAAGGCATTTTCCAAGCAAAAAAAACACCAAACGCTGTCTCGTTCCAGCTCATCAGTTGCACGGATTCACTGATTTTTCTTATTCTTATTTGATAGCAAAATGCTAATTTGGGGGTTATGGAGACTTGATTAGATGAAATCAGCAATATAAAGACATCAGCGTAAGTTTTGCAGACAGTTGTTGCGATTTTCTGACAGCTTATAGAGGGAAATAAAAGATTAATAGATTAACTGAGCAAATAATCCAAAAATAAAACAAGTCTGAAAGGAATTTTTAGACAGGATTAGGGTTAAAATATTGAAATCTACATGTCGTCTTCTCAAATATCAGGAATTAAGTAACGACTCTCAACTGCTTTTTGATTTCGTCGTCCTCTAAATTAGAACTGCTACAGTGTAATATATGACAAAACACATACTTCCTACAATAGTTTTCCAGAATTTTCCTCAGTGACTCGCTTTATGCAAGTTTGAACTTGCCCGTCGAGTGTTAGTGCGTTTAAATTTGTGTAGATTGGCTTCAACATGGCTTTTGATCCTAAGCTAATTTACTGTTTGCAAGTAGTGCAACCACAAATTTCGGATCAGAAAAAGATCTGCATTCCTACACTGTTTAGTGGTTTTTAAAATAATTTCTGTGCAGCTCTTACTCTGCGCAAAACATCTTCCACGAAGCTGCAACTGATTGCATTCGGTTTTTCTCCAGGACCTCCCAGTCTCGCCGTGACTTGCACCACGCAGCATTTTTGATCCATGTCACAAAAGTCCCCTTAAATCCCCCGTCAATTTGGTATCGTAAAAACAGGAAAACTTCCGCTCTGTACGCGCTTCAGAACCATCCACGCTGCTGGATGTTCTTCGCTTGCCGCTATCAAGGTCACAGGAATTGCCTCCGCCAGAGTCGCGCACAGCACAGCGCGCTGAGCCCCATCTGTTCCACTCGGCTGCATTTGCATTGTTTCTGTTAATCCAGATTGATTTATCGTGCCATTAAGTCATAATTCCTAAAGAGTCCAGGTCAGGAATAGTATACATTAGCATGGATACAAGAAGAAAAAAAAAAGAGCTGCTTTCGAATGCATTGCGCAAACCCGCGCCATGTGTAAAATAAATGTCAGAGGGGGGATTCAATAAGTACATTCATTGGTGATTTACCGAGCATGGCCGATGACAGTTCAGCAGGATGATGAACAATGAGACAGAGATGAAGAGAAAAGAAAAAACAAAAACCTTCAAGACAGCATACTGTACACTGTCTTATCCTTAATGTAAAAGTAGTGATACATGAAATGCAGGAGACGTGAAGCGGCATTGTAATTTCCACTTAGAGCATTGATCTTGGTCAGACAAGATGGTGTGTCACTGCGCTGTCAGTGCTGCAGGAGATGTGATACATTTACATTAACGGGAGGCTGACAGGGACAAACTCACTAATCAGGCGTGAGCGTGTCTGTGTTCATGCTATTCGTAACCCCGTGACTTGTGGATGTTGTGGTTACTGAGGGAGCGTTACGCAACAAGTGTCTTTGTTTAAAAGAAATCTGGATAAAAAGTCTGCGAAAGGGAAACGTTTGCTTTGTTGCTATGTCAAGTTAGCGAGCTGCTTTGCATTTAAGTGTACAAACTTCAAGTGGGGTCAATCTTCTCGTCTAGACTGTCTTAAAAAGATGGATGTAGTGACTAACTTTGAAAAGTGCGGAAGTTCCTTAAAGTGCAACACCAGTAGCTGCCACTAGGTGCTACCTCTGACTCCCATAGACTCCCATTCGAAAGTCATAATTTAAAGCTGCCTCGATACATTTTTTTCACAAGTTATTATGATATTTTTGGTTAAATTCCCTCCTTCTGATCATTGTTCTGGTGGTACATCTGAAAAGAACTCCTAACTAAACAGAAATAAGGCTTCAAAGTGTAAGCCGTCAGAGGGCGTGGCTGTCTTGATCGAGATGTTTGGTCAGAAATCAGGCTGGTAAAGACGAACAAGCCGAGTATCTTCGGGTTCCCAGTTTAGTCCTGCCCCTTGCTCCTCTCCAGATCCACCCCTTTCTTCCAAAATGGTCGCTTCTGCCTCTAAAAACTCCAAGGTGGCAACCAGGAAGTCACAAACTCAAGGTTTTAAAACAGAACCAGCGGGAGACATCATGTGGCTACGTCCATCTTTTGTATACAGTCTTTCATCAACCTCTTGGCAAGCTGAGAAAACTAGTCAAAAGTGCTGATGGAAGGTAATCTCAGTTATGTCTGCTTTCCAAATAGATTTTGAACTATTGTGATATGAATGTGGGGTGAGGCACAGAAGGCACAGGAAGCTGAGAGGAAAACAGTCGATGGGTTCTTGCAGTAAAGTAACTCTTTGGTCATTGATTAAACCTCTAAAGACTCATCTCTGTGTATCAGACATACATATTCAGAGTGTTTTTTCTATGAAAATAATTCCTTTCTAAAGTAACACTACACTGTTGCTTCATTTTGAATGTGCAGATCTAAGTTCCTGCCTCTTCCCATCCCATCCTCCCCGCTCGCCGCAGCGCGAATGGAATGTCGGAGTAATTCCGCCTTAGGTGTCGGGGTAATGATACAGAAGACTGTTTTTGAGACTGGTACACTATAGTTTGAAGGTGGAAATGCTCAGCCATGGTGTTGACTGCTGATTTCACTCAGGATATGCCTTCTACTACATAAAAAAAACACAATCCCAATGTGGTAAAAAACTTGATTTTCACTGAAGCGGGTCTTTACGCAAGGAAACAAGGATGTATGGAAGCAAACAAATAGTCCCCGACTGTTGGGATGTAATAGATTTCCAGCTTAACCACCATTTTCCCAGCTCGACTATGTGTTTTTTATTTGATTAAAAGGGAGCAGAAAATCCATTTGCAAAGCTCCAAATGAAAAATTAAATGCTCGCTCACTCCCATCACGCATTCCTCGTCTCCGTCAGTGGCATAATTTGAAGAATGCAAATCAAGGCCGCCTTCAGCTGAATGTGGCTGGAAAGTTGTTTCTGGTACGAGCTCAAAACTTCTCTGACGGAGTCTGAAGTGTTGCAATTGTGTTACTCAGTCTGAGGAAGATTCTTAAGGGGCCTGTGTGATCTGAAGGAAGCCTTCAGCAATCCTGTCTACGCCTCTTTCTTCCTCCCTTCCCTGTCAACTGCGCCTCCCACTTTCTCTGCTTCCCATTCTCATTTTCTCCCAGTCTTTGACTCCTAGTTCTTCGCCTACAAACGACACCTTTGTCCAACTACCTCATTACTCCGTCTCCTTTCTTGACTGTCCTCCGTCATCCGAACTCACGGTGTCTCACATTTCCTCTTCTCCATGCTATCTCCGTTCCCCTCCCCACCTCCCTTTTTCTCCTGTAATCAGCAGCTTATGCTACAGGAGCCACCTCTGCAGTCTTAAATCAGTATTCAGACCCATCCTCCAACCATCAGGCTCTCCACCACTTAACCCATCTCCTGACTGGACTGGAGCCTTCTGTCCACCCTGTCCTTTGCGTCTGTGAATGCGCTCCGAGGCTGCCAAGTGTTAAAATGAGAGTGTGTGTGAACGCCGGACCGTGTGTTCAGGAGGCAACTCAAGGAGGGTGACAATACGTGTGTGTGTGTGTGTGTTTGTGTGTTGGTTGGCGTAGAGGCGCGCGAGCGTCTGATCGGCAGCAATCCCATCGCCTGAGGTGGAAATCCCAGGGTTCTCGTGTAGCTCCAGGTGCTTCTCTGCTGTTTCCTCGCCTCCCACACACTCTCA